ATTTCTTTCATATTTAATTCAGCATAATTTTATGTGTGTTAAATAATGGAAATTCTACCATTTTCCTTGAAAGAAATATAATAGATATCCAAAGGCTTAACTTAATACTTCACAAATAATAGGTATTAAATAAATATTTGATGATTGATTTTTTCTTTATTTGTCTTAAGCATTACCTTTAACATAGAGTATATTTCTCCATTCCATAAACTAGCATAACAAAAAGTGAGATTCACAGGGCAAAAATCAAGCCAACAAGTATTTGTTAAGCATCTAATGCATGCCAGGCATAGTGCTAAACATTGGAGATTTAAAGAAAGACAAAAAAAAAAAAACCTTTGACCTCACAGAACTCACAGTCTAATGGGAGAAGACAACAGGCAAACAAGATACATGCAGGATAAATTGAAGATAATCAACAGAAGGAAGGAACCAGAATTAGGGGAGATTGGGAAAGGCTCCTTGTAGGAGAAGAATTCTCTCCCTGCACGTCTCTGACTTTTAGCTTTCTTCAAATTTCAGCTCAAAGCCAGAGATGTGGAAGAAGATACAAGGACCAAAAGAGGACTTGCTGTAAAAGTTAAGGGTTTCTAAGAGAGTGATATTCTCTTTTATCTCATCTTGCCTTACTGCCAAATAATGTGATGGGACCTTTCTGTCTTTGACTTTGCCAGATACTGGTGATGAGTCTTTTGGGATTCACTGCTGTCCTAAGCAAACACAGTCTTTTCCTGGGACTGAATTCAAAGTCTTTCCAGCAGGAGAGCACTTGCCTGAGCTTGTACTTGGCTGGCACAGTTTCTGGGAACCCAGAATCCCCTCTGATGAAGCATCAGAGGGGGCCTTTTGTGAAGAACTTTGGTTGGTGACCTTTGATTACAGATCTTCAGCTTGATATATACACTTGGCTACACTGTTTGCCATTGTCATAAAGGATGTATGCTCTGAAGTTCAGATGAAAAACATATTGCTTATGGATGGCAAGAACCTCCAAATGCTTGTGTTTGTGGGTGACATTGTGCTGATTTCATCAAGACCTGGAATATTGGAGGACCTCTTCAATGAGATCTATAACCACCATTAGATCTGGTCCTAATGGACCACAAGGAAAAACCAATTGGTTGACAAATGCCTGCTGTCCAGACATATGTAATCAAAAGGACAGCCTATTGAATTAATCTGTCAATGCATATGTCTTGAATTAATTAGCCATTGAATGATTAATGTGTATATATTGGAAATATAGGATAGACAGACAACAAACTGGGCCCAGAGTTGAATCGGAGGAGGAGAATAGGCTATATTGCATTTGGGATGTCACACAGCACTTAAAAATCCCATGCTACTACTCCCTGAAACAAAAATCCATCTTTTTTTTAAACGTCACTGTTCTTCCCATGATACTAAATGTCTGAGTCATAGAACACCATCATCAAGGAATCAAAATTATGACTGGCCCAAAAGGCAATAGAAGGACATAAGATCTGCATAAAAGTACAATACCTAATGATAATCAACTGTGAAAGTTTTAGTTACTCTGATCAATACAGTGATCTACAGTTCCAAAGCACTGATGATGAAAAATGCTATCCACTTCCAGAAAGAGAACTGATGGACTCGGAGTGCATATCGAAGCATATTTTTACTGTATATTTCTTGCTTTTTTCCCCACAGCATGGCTAATGTGGAAATATGTTTTGCTTGACTTCATATGTATAATGAGCATCATATTTCTTGCCTTCTGAATGGGTGATGGAGGGGTGGAGGAAGAAAATTTGGAACTGAAAATTAGAAAATAAAATAAAAATATTACCAACAATGGCTTGCATACATAAGGGGTATGGGAGATAGCCTACAACAGGTATATGGTTGTGGAACAGATAAGCCAGTCACTTAGTGAGGGTTGGGGAAAAGACATGAATAAACTGAGGAGTGTTGCATTACTACACACATGATATTAATGGACCTAGAGGAAGGCTTTCAGAACACTGGTTGGAGCCTCCAGGGAGACTGTACGGAAAATTGTGGACAAGAGTCACTCAGGATGAGAAGTTGTAGATGAGTTATGGGCTATCTATTGGAAGGAGAATTCACATAAATAAGCTCATGAACCCACTGAAATCTTGTAATATTGTCAAATATGTGCATAACCTTGAGACACAAATTAGCAGGGCATTGCACTCCATGTTTGGTGGGAGCCTGCCTCTAATTAAAACAACTAGATTTCTTTTTCTCACACTTGTCAGCTTATGTCCACTATCCCAGTGACATCTTAGGATGATTTATTTATAGTTTAAGTCATGGTTAATCAGTCTAAGCTGCAGCGGTTTCTCCCAAAATGGGACAGTTAAAAAGGTACTCAATGAACCATATAAATCAGGAATAGGACAGGTAGTTTATTTTGCATACAAAAGGAATACAAAACATAAAAGACTCATACTGCACATTGACAGAACTTAAAAACAGGACTTAGTAAAACTTGGCCTATAGCTATTGTTACAGTCTGCTGGGAGACTGATATTTAAACTATATCAACATCAAAAGCAATGATGAGATTGCTGAGTAAGCATTTTACATTTCACCTGTGCTTCATACTGTCACTCAACTACAAACTTCTCTAAATTTTGCATTTCAGCCACTTTTCCAGTCAACTTCTCCTGCATCTGCTATAACCAGTCCCTCTTCTAAGTAGACCCAAGATGTTTAGACCTGTTGAACTTACAAGCCCGGGCATATATACCTTGAGAACTACATCTAGTTGCTTACCCAAGAAGGAATACACAGAATGAGCAAAGCAGCCAGGGACCCAGCTACAAGCTCACCTAATTGAGTCTACATTCTATGTTGGGAGCAGCAAGGTGGAAGAAGGGGCACTGCCCAGTCCCTACCCCTCTTTATGAGAGTTTAGAGATGGTTTATGCTACTTGCCACATGGAAGAATGCAGATTCCACAACTTTGGATAGCAAAAAACCATACAGAATAAGAAAGTAGTTAAGAGTCATTCTGACATTTCAAGCTGTCATGTTTCAACAATGCAGATGACATAATAGTTCACATTGCTATGCTCCTTTAAAGTTTTTAAACGGTTGGAAAGCCTAGCTACCCACCCTGGAAGTCCTGACCCAATGTCTCATCATCATATGAAGGTGAACCTAGGTTTCTGAAGTCTAGGCAGGTGTGCATTTTCTCACACATCCCAACAAGCTAGAAAGGCTCCAAGCACAGTCCTAGTCGTGAACTAGGACTCTCATCTGAGGACCAGCCTTTAAGAGCTATGATCAAAGAGGCTCATCACCAGATTGATCACAGGAAGATTAATTTTTCTGTTGCAACAACTTTTTTAAGGATTATTTTCCACATCTTAGGAATGAAGAAAGTAAGATACAGAGAGGGTAAGTGAATTGCCTGGTGGCACAAATATAATAAATACTAAAGTTAGGATTTGATCCTAGGTCACCTGTCTCCAAACCTAGTGTTCTTTTTATACTATGCTACAGGCTCCTAAAATGTGCCAACTTCACAAGGTTGTTGGGAGACTCAAACAAGGTGATGCGAAGTGCTTTGCAAACCTTAAAGTATTACATAAATATTGGCTATCATCATCATCATCATCATCATTTGTGGATGGTCATTTGAAATGCCCCTGTCCCTAAAAGCAATATCTTTGAGTCATTAACACATTACTAAAGGAAATCTCAGTTCTTTTTTCCCACTCCTGCTGGAAAATATTTAAAACTTGGATTTATTAGTCCTAAGCAAGGTTCCATTCATCACCACAGTACTGAATCTAACCATGTGCTTTAAGCCCATCCAGGATGTTAAAATTCACTATGTAAATTTCAGTTCCTGCCAAGATTTTGCCCATAAGCATATGATTTGTTTTTATTTTAAAGGTGCTTGACTTCCATAAATAATAGTGTTTATATACCTGACTTCTGTAGCATTGTGCTGAAAACCCCTCTGCTGCGATGAAATTTTGATGTTTTCTCCAAGGTCATCTTTCTTTTGCAAGCACGCTGGCCACTCCAGGTGCTATGGCGCAGATGCTTACAGTATGTTAAATGGCAGTAGCTGCCCGTACGCTGTAATGTTTGGTTAAGATGCATTAAGGTATACAATAAAACCGCTCCCTTCTGATCTATTGCTGTCTTAATAAGTAATATTCCAATGTAGGGCTGAAAAGTGTTTTCATGCGATAAATGTGTATCAGCTCCAAGAGTCATGTTTCTCCAAACCAGTCATTTAAAAAGTCATGGTCATATGAATTATGTGATATTTATTTTTTAAAAGTCAAAAGCATATCATAAAAAGAGCAGAAATTATTGTAGGGAATGATGCCCTTGTCATTCAGTATTTCTCTGTCCTCCTGCCATTGATTCAATCTCTGTGGATGCTGGTACATGGGGCAGCAGGCCTTGGGCTAAAGCTCTCTCTCATCGGGTTAAGCCTCCTCACTGCCCTCCTCTGTGCCCTGCTGCAGCAGCTGGCAGACACCGTTTTGTTGTGAAATCAGCTGTTCAGCTACCTTGGTGTTTGGCCAGGCTTTACACAAAAGCAACAGCATTGCCTTGGACCAGTGGTATCAAATTCAATTTAAAATGGGATGTGCATGTGGATTCCTGTGGGCTACATTTTGCCTTAGAAAACCACATATTATCTTTATCTGTGTTTTATTGTATTTTTATTTTGTTAGATATTTTCCAATTTCATTTGAATCTGGTTCAGCTGTACTGGAGTGTGCATGAGAAGAAACACCTCTGCTTTAGACCACGATGGTTCTTAATCTGGGATCCCTAAACTTGTGGGTTTAAAAAAATATATTTTATAACTGTATTTTAATATAATTGGTTTCCTTTGTAATTCTATGCATTTTATTTTATGCATTTATAACCATGCCTGCTACAGGGGTCCATGACCCCAAAAAAGATTAAGAAGCCCTGCTTTAGAGTTACATGTGCCCTAAGTGTGTCCTCAGTCCCATTTTTCTTTCCCTCTACAGCATTGTGGTCAGTGTGACAGAAGATTCCTGCGTCAGCAAACTGAGAGAAAAACGGCAGCAAGATGTCGGGCAGAAGTGGGAAGAAGAAAATGTCTAAACTATCCCGCTCAGCCAGGGCGGGCGTCATTTTCCCCGTGGGGAGAATGATGAGATACCTGAAGAAAGGAACATTTAAATACCGAATAAGTGTGGGCGCTCCAGTCTATATGGCAGCCGTCATAGAATACCTCGCAGGTAATTTTTTTAAATGTCAAGAAATGAAAATACTTTTCCTGGATTGAACTGAGAATTCATCCCTCACTCTTTTATCTGACACGGTTTATGGAAGGATCATTTAAATTATCTTTTGATTGCTTTAAGGCTAATGGTGATGGACTAGAGAATTCTTGAGCTTGTCTCTTAGCCAAAAGAAATAGATTATGATGAAATTACAAGGTTTAAGGGGAATAAAGAGGGCAGAGAAACCACGGAATTAAAATCGAGAGCACAAAATCTACAAAAATATTTATAGACTGTTACAGGTGTGCCCCCCTCTCACATCAGGTAAATACCACCTAAGTGTGCCCTACATTATATTACCCTAATTTAGTGTTGCTTTGTAACAATGGGAAGAATGCATTATAAACAAACCCAACTCTGGTAAAACTAAACAAAACAAATAAAAACCTGTTACATTGTAACACTAATTGTCTGAGACAGATCGCAACATTGGTCTCGCAAAGTAATCGTCCCTGTAATGTTGTTTCGCTGAGTGTGGAACCAATCAATCAGGGTAGATGGAGTGTGTGTAGGTGAACACAATATTTTGCATAAAATACAGACTGAGTGTATATTAGTCATTTTATAAAAGGCTTCATGATTGGATTCCTTTAACAGCAAGCTTCCCCAGTGCATTTACAATGTAAGCCAACTAATGAAAATTCAGTTTGCACTCAAAAAATATCAACTATATAAAGGAAAGGACAGTGTCCATTTTTAAATCCCTCCTAGCTGACATGTTCCAGTTTAGTCATAAATGGATTTTTGTTTCATCTAGATTATTATTAGCCTATGTCAGATTAAGTAAACAGGATGGTTAGTTTTCTCTTTATCCTGTAGGAAAATATTTTTCCACAAAACTGAAAAATCTTGCCTTGATTATAATTTTTCTATTTGAAAAACATTCTTGTTGGCTTTTATTACTTCCCTTTTGATTATCCAAGCAAGAAAAGCAACTGCCTTCTTTTCCCAACATTGCGGGTATTTTGGAGACCCCTACCCAATTCAGAAAGGGACTGCATGCCATAATCTAGGCAATATGTCGGGTTTGTTTCTTCCACTTTCTCTTTCTTCCATGGATAGTTAGATCAGCCTCTTTGCTAGGACTGGCATTATCCATCAGCATCATGTGAATTAAGATTAATAAATTAAAATTAATAATAAACGGTCTTAGCGAAGTTATGAAGGTTGTCTATTGTCATCAGCTCTTACTTGCCATGGACTTTTAGTCATTAAGGTGGTGTCTCTGGCATTTTGAAGTATTCTTGCTTACTACAAGCAACAGTGACACCTCAGTAAACTAAGCTTACCCCTGTTTTAAAAAGCAAATTTCTACATTATAATCATACCAAGTATTAAAATCTCATGTTGAATAGACATGTGATCTTGTTGGCACAGCTATCCCCCCAAGGGCAAAATGCCACGCTTTCTTATGCTGGTTGGTTCTTCTCCATTATCTTTCTGTGATTTCCTAAATCACAGAACTTCCGAGTTGGAGAGGGGGCCGCCATCTAACCTGACCCCCACCTGAGAAGAGGCTCCCACTCTATAATAGACCTAATAAGTCGGCCTCCAGCCTTTGCTTGAAGACCTTTTGCCAGGACTACCCCCATTCCATTTGGGGCCCCAGCTCATCATTAAGACCTTTTTCCTTAGGTGAAGCCTAAATCAACTTCTTTGAACTTCCTCCATAGAGGATCTTACCTATGTTCTAGAGACCTTCCTCTGGTTCTTTTCATATCTCAAAGGCAGCAACACAGCACTTGAGCTTTCCTCTGTTACTTTTCATTCTTAAGCCCTGGCTGGCCAGCCTCCTCTGCTGCTCAGACATAGATGCTTGATGAGATCTTTGACATCTCTTTTTGTGCATGTCATTATTGGCAACATGCTACAGCCAGCCCTTCCACTGTCCTTTGGGTCTCTTGATATTTTGATGGCATTACAGGATTCATCACTGGAAGAAGATGGATAATAAAAAGATGGACTTAGACACCAGCAGGCAGCCTACTGAAAGGCCTGCACCATTTCCCAAACGTTATCCAGCTAAATTTCCTCCTCCCTTTTCAATTCTTAGCCTAGTTCACTGTCCATCTGCAGCATCTATCCAAGATAGAGATAGACAAAGAACTCTAGGTACGAATGAACTCCGTGGGCTACCTGTCTAGTTGCATGTCATAATCTGGGCAATATGTTTCTTAATCTGTTGAATTCTTAAAATGTGGGTGTTGAGACCAACCTCCTTTACTAGGATAGACCCTATTTAATAAAGAAGATGACCTAGGGTTGTTACTATGATGATGATGATGGCAATGATGACTACCACTACTACTACTACTACTACAAATAATAATAATAATAACAACAACAACAATAATAGTAACAACCCTAGAAAAGTTGTGAAGCCCTTATCTGTTTCCATTCTCTTCTTTATAAGCCCCTTTCCCAATTAAAGGCAATGTCTTGCCTCACTTTTGAAATGCCTTTCTGTTTTCCTAATTGCTTCTCCCTTACCAAAATGGGGAAGGATGCGATAACTAGTCCTTATACTTCATTTACAGTAACAGGTAATTTCAGCCATGCATTTTTTACTTAGCTCAGTTGTAGACTGACATGCTTTTCTCTTTTTAAAGGAAATTGGGGGAGATTATCAAATAGCTAAGAAAATGGGGGTAGGATGGTAAGGACACCCTAGAACCCTGCTAGATATCCTGAGCCACCCTTGAAGGCAATTTGACTTAGTTTTAAGATCAGAGGATTTAGGACAGGGGTTGGCAACTCTTTAAAACTGAAACAACTTCATTTACAAATGCAAAAACCTTTCTTATCTCACTGGCTATCCAAAAATAGGTGGTGGGCTGATTTGGCCTGCAAGCCTCAGTTTACTGACTCTTGCTTTAGGACCTGGACCCTATCTACTCTCCCCATTCATTTTACAGATGAGAACACAAAGGCCCAAAAGATGACGTGACCAACTTTATGTGTCTCAATTGAGCTCTACATACATTTTGTTCAAAATTAATCTTTGTGTTATCTATCTCTGGGTACAGGCGTATTGAAACTGAAGGCTTCAAAACCCTGTTGTGCTAATCATAACTTACTGATAGATGCTGGGCCAGAAAGTTGAATCAACTAGGTGGCACAGTGGATAGAAGGCTAGGCATGGAGTCAGGAAAACTCCTCTTCCTAGGTTCAAATCCAGCCTCAGACACTTCCTAGCTATGTGACCCTGGCCAAGTCACTTCACTATGTTTCCCTGAGTTCCTCATCTGTAAAATGAGCTGGAGAAAGAAATGGCAAACCACTCCAGTATCTTTAAGTATCAGTATCCAGTATCTAGTATCAAGAAAATCCCAAAGGGGGCCGTGAAGAATTGGACATGACTGAAAACAAGTGAACAGTTTTACTGACCCCATGATCGTGCACACTCTAGGAAGAAACACCAGAAGATACTCACATTCCTACATACTTATGTGTCTAAAATGAACTTTAAAGCACATAATCTTGAAAGTAGACATAATGCTCTACTTCTTTCTTTGCTAATAACCTTATACATTTCCTATTTTGCCTCTGATAAACATTTACTGTCATTGTTTTACAATCCTCCACCCAGAACTGACTGACCCAAGGCAAAATTGAGAAGTAGAAAATATGTCTTCTAAGTCCCCAGTCTGTCCTTTCTATGACCTTCCCAGCCTCCCTCCCCATCTATACCTCAGGCACTAGATTTCCTTGGGCTTTCTTCCTACAATTCCTACAAAAACCTGCTCTCCAGAAAGGCGTATATAAAGTTATCCACAGGAAAGCGTAATTGACAAGGTATGAATGAGACACCTCTCCCTGAAGTGGCTGCATTTTAAAAGAGGCCGAGGAGCCTTCAGCCAAAGATGTCAGTATAATGGGGAGAAGGAGGCGCAGTAAAGTACATTGAGAAGGACGGAGAAAGTACCGAGGGAAGGAAACAAAGGAGATCACAGGTGGGACACCATTAGCCCATGGAAGGCAGCCCCAGAGGCCCCCACTTCAAAACCAGCCCATTGCTTTAGGATTTCCACCCATTCCTGAAGACAGACTCAGGTAAGGCCTCTGGAGTACTGTTTTAGGAGACTTGGCGAGACAATTCTGCAATACGCGGTGGTGGCTGGGGACAGCTTGGGGGTATCGCTGCAGGTATGGACTCAGCAGTCAGGCCCACTGGGCCTGCCCTTCCTGTTTAGTGTCAGGATGCTCTTCTGGAAGGGCTGGCTGTTACATCCCTGCAGGGCTCTGTGTGTGTTTCTGGCTGTGCCAACCAATGCCCAATGTGTACCCAATGCTTGTCCATCTGCATCCAGGGAGAGGGGGCCTGATGACCATACATGCACACAGCATCTCCCTGAAAACATTTATTCTAAACTATTTGATATCCTTTTCCTGCCCTCCCTGGTGAGAAGGGAGTAGGGAGTCAGAGCTGCAGCATGATGGAGATGATGAGGAGTTAATAAGTAGAGGTAAGGGGGAAACATACTGGGGGAGGAGAAGGCATGAAAACTCAAGCATTGCCAAGGTCACAACTAAAGGAATTCACAGAAGCAACCAGAGGCCTGCACAGAGCCAGAAAACGGAGCCCTTGTAGCAGGGCTAAGGGCACAGAGAGGTGAGATTCGCATGGCATGAAATCAAAGAAACTCCACACAGAGGAAGGCACAAAGTGTCCATAAGAGAGGTCTAACAAAAAATCTTTGCCCTTTTATGGCATTAGAGATTAGCCCTCTCCCCCCTTACCCAGCTGTGTCCACATTACTGTGAGCCCAGACAGCAGCCTCCCTGCTCAGCTGCCTCAGCCCAGTCTCTCCAACTGCGCTAGACTGGTCCTCACCCAGGGAGAACGCTGTGACTATGTAATATTTATTAGATTTTTATTATATGACATATTACCTACCACCAGGTCCATCCCTGAGGGCTTTCCAGATTATTGGGTCTGCTAGAACTTTCACTCT